ATTAAAAGAGCCAAGATTTCTCAGAAGAATTTTTTTAAGAATAATTGGCAAAATGGACCACCCACAAATAGCACTGAGAACTTGAGAGATTGTTTTCATTCAGCCTTACTCAGCTTTTAAAGAAGCGTTTGAAATGCATCCTCCAGTGTGGTGTAGTGGTTAAGAGCGGTAGTCTCGTAATCTGGTGAACCGGGTTCGCTTCCCCGCTCCTCCACATGCAGCTGCTGGGTGACCTTGGGCCAGTCACACTTCTCTGAAGTCTCTCAGCCTCACTCACCTCACAGAGTGTTTGTTGTGGGGGAGGAAGGGAAAGGAGAATGTTAGCCGCTTTGAGACTCCTGAAAGGGAGTGAAAGGCGGGATATCAAATCTAAACTCTTCTTCTTCTTCTTCTCCTTCTGGAGGAGAAGAACGTGGACTTTAGTAAAAGGCAAACAGAACAGAAAGCTTCTTTTAAGAAACAAAAAAAAACCAAGCCACCCACAATGTTTCAGGTCTTTCTTACAAATTATTAAAGGAAATAAAACATTAACAAAACAAAACAAAAATTCAGGTCACCTCTAACAGTTATAGTCCTAACCTGGAACATGGAACGACTCGAAAAGCTGGAACAGAGCAATTAGCTGGTACAGATGTATCATGGCTTGCAATAAAAGTCAACCTACAGTAAAATACTTCGGCACTAAATTGACCACCCCATAATAAAGCTCCACAAGGAAATTACACTTCCAAACTCACTCTGTCACTTCCTTGAATCACTGCAGGGCCTGCCACATGCCACGGCTATAAAGATTCCAAGTCAAATGGCAGCTGGATTCCTCGGATGCACCTCAGCTATATTAAACAAGCGAAATACTCATCAATGTGGCCTGGGAAGTGTGTACCTGAGAAGGGAGAGTTTCTTTATTTCAAGGACAACTTGTGGGGTAAGATACATTGCGTGGACAGGCGGAGTCCCCCAAACCCTGGGCGGCCCCCGTGTGGAATAATGACTCAAGACAACATGCTATGGGATTAAAATTGGCCACAACTTTATTATGTTTCAGATGTGGGTAGACCTTGGCTCAGGCATTGGGCGTTTATCCCTCCCAGTCCCCCGCCAGTGATCTGGGGAACATCAGGGTTATCCAGTGGGGGGCGATGGGGTGGCTTTGGAGAACATATGTTCAAGCAGAGAGAGCCCACCCCCGTTACGCCGTCGACGCAGGGGAGAGCAATGATGACCTCTAGGCGTACGGCCAAAGCCTCCCCTCAAACAACCCCTTTAACGGGGAACCCTGATATCGCCGTCACAAAGAGGAGGGGGGCGTGGGTCACTGCTACACACCTACCCCCATTTAGGGAAGATAGACTAAAGGATTCCTCCCAAGGCCTGATACCGCCAAAGTTGAGACATTTTGCTACGGGAAAGGCAAACCTGCAAATGCAGGAGAATTCCTTTCCAGCCCTTCAACAGCGACCTTGATGTAGTAGCGCCCACGTACATGTGGAAAAAAGGTTAACCTGCAAAAGAAGGCTTAACTGAGGGTGGGAGAAGCTCTGGAGCCAACTGACGCTTCCCAGGTAAGATCCTCCCCCTATTGTGTGGGCAGGTAGTCCCTCCCCCTACCTGGCTCGATCACCTTGGCAACGCCTCTCCAGGCAGGATTGGGCAACTGGCTGAGGTAGGTGGAGACCTCCAGGTATCCCACCTGGGGAAGGCAAAGCCAAGCCTGTGCTAATGGTGCCACATAGGGTCCAGGGGGCTGCGTGCGGCCACGCAAAGGGCGCCCCCCATTTAATGTGGGGAGCGGTCATTGGGCCCTCCAGTGGGATCTCTGTCAAAAGGAACCAGAGGTTTCCTCACTGGAAAAGCAGCTGATGGAAGGGACGAGTGTTGGGGAAGGAGGGCTGGCCATTCACCAGCTGCAACAGTGTCCCCGAGTTCAGCATTTTGCTTCCTCCAATAGGCCTGAATGGCAAGTATCTGTAAATAAGGGGGAAATTAAAGGAATGGTGTAATATTAGGCATAGTGTGGAAAAAGTAGAGAGGGAGAAGTCCCCCCCCCTCCCATTATAATATAATATAATATAATATAATATAATATAATATAATATAATATAATATTATAATATTAATAATATGGGGCCAGCAAACTGAGTTGGAGATGCAGAACAGACAGACATCTTCTCTCCCTGCCCCCCCAGTAATGACTGTTGTAATAATTTAGATTGTTGTTACTCGTTACTCAGTGTGAAATGCAATTCATTGGGCAAAATGGAGTCCCACAGTCTTTAGATGTAGAAGTCAACAATCCAAACACAGTTGGTATAATGACTCTGGACTAACAGATAGAGGAGGAAGAGTTATTCTGTACGTTTGCTGTGTTAAGAGATAAATTACCCCTTATTGGAGATGGCCCAACGGCAATATTTGCAATGGCTTTTAAAAAATATATATAACTGTCAGGGGTTCAGGGACAGAGGCACAGGGTAGGCAGGAGATGGAGAGCGATGGGGATGAATCCCAGGACAGCGAGGAAGAGGATGACAATGACTCAAGAGATTCCATGAGTCTTTCCAGCGAATCAGAGGATTCCCAGAAGGGGGGCGCCGGTGGTCAAGGCCAGGGGAGCCCCAGGGGGGACGTGTCAGGAGCAGGGGGCCAGCGGAGGATCCCAAAGTGGCAGCTGGGCGTCAGGACCAGCCTCCCCACCAGAGTGCAGCGAAGGGGGTGGAGGTTCCAGTGTATCAGGGGAAGCAGCTCCGGCAGCAGAGAAAGGAGGGAGGTCGGAGCAAGCCACCCTCCCGGAAGGGAGGGAGTAGTGAAGGGAGTAGTGTAACTGTCAAAAGGAAGGTTAGAGGTTGGGCGCGCGCCAAGTTCAAATGTAGAGGCGCGCGGAAGTACAGGGAGCCCGGAGGAGGGGCCAGGTCCCAAAGCCCGCAGGAGGGGGGAAGAGCAATCTGGGGATTCCGCGTCAGGGGAATCCAGGAGGGGCGAAACCCCAGCGGGCAGGAAGACCCTGCGGAAAAGAAAAGAGAGGAAGAGGTGGAGCAGCGCAAGTCTCTTAAATTGGTGCAGAGGAGGGACTGACTCAGAGGGGACTTCAACGGTCTAAGCGTAACAGACGTGGGGCTGCGCGCCTCGGATGTGAAGCTAACAAGGAACTCCAATAAACACTTTTGTATATAAGAAGAGATTGGCGTTGGTCTTTTGTGAGCTGAGACCTGAGGCAGCCTTGACAATAACCCTGTTTGAACCAGCAGCCATTACAGAATCTAAGACCGTGGTGTCCAAACTTTTTTCAAAGAGGGCCAGATTTGTTGAAGTGAAGAGCCATGAGGGCCGACCAAAGGCTGACCAAAGTTGTTGAGATTTTATTTAGGATTGAAGTTGTTGAGCATTTTTTAGGATTGATTAGGTCCCCAAAACGGACTTTGGACAAACCTGATCTATGACACCAGAGATACTGGAACAATTGGCTAAACCCTTTGATACTAAAAATCTAGTGACTACTTTTTATACATACAGTGGTACCTCGGGTTAAGTACTTAATTCGTTCTGGAGGTCCGTACTTAACCTGAAACCGTTCTTAACCTGAAGCATCACTTTAGCTAGTGGGGCCTCCTGCTGCTGCTGCGCCGCCGGAACACGATTTCTGTTCTCATCCTGAAGCAAAGTTCTTAACCTGAAGCACTATTTCTGGGTTGGTGGAGTCTGTAACCTGAAGTATATGTAACCTGAAGCGTATGTAACCCGAGGTACCACTGTATAAAGAATTGAAGGTTCCTATATTACTTAGACAACAGGATAATGTTTTAGCTTCTGTAGCAAACATGTCAATTGATTTTAAATTGTATCTTATACAACAACAACAAAAATATTTATAATTTATTGGACTCTGTTATATTTATATAGAAAAGGACTATCTATATCAACATATTATTATTATTATTATTATTATTATTATTATTATTATTATTATTATTGCAGGGGGTTGGACTAGATGACCATTGGGTCCCTTCCAGCTCTAGGATAATTCTTCTTTGAATCATGTTCATGCAATGCAGTTTTAGGAGAAAGTACTAAATTGTATGAGTATTACTTTGAGGGGAAAACTAGCATTGTCGGGGGATAATATTCTTTTAAAATATCTACCTGCTGCATGGAATTTGACAACTGGTCAGTGTAAATGGATTTTTTTATCCCCTCACTACGGCTAAAACTCTGATACTGATCCACTGGAAAGATAAATCTATGACTCCCTTTAATCAATGGATAGAAGACATGACATATGTCTTGCAACATATGAACAGATTGCTTATAGGCATGGACTGTGTATGGACAACAACAACAACAATTTACAGTGGTGCCTCGCAAGACGAAATTAATTCGTTCCGCGAGTTTTTTCTTCTTGCGAAGCACGGTTTCAATTTTTTCAAAAAAATCTTCAAAAACCTCAAAGAAGGCTACCACACCGCGTGCTATGAGTTGTTCCCCGAAGTCAAGTCGCAACTGCACCTCTTCAAGCAATGCACCCTGTATTACTGTAACGGTTTTAAGAAAAAGGAAACAAACTTGCAAGACGTTTCCGTCTTGCGAAGCAAGCCCATAGGGAAATTCGTCTCGCGAAGCAACTCAAAAAACGAAAAACTCTTTCGTCTTGCGAGTTTTTCGTCTTGAGAGGCATTCGTCTTGCGAGGTACCACTGTATTACTTATACCCTACCCATTTGGCTGGGCCTCCCCAGCCACTCTGGGCAGCTTCCAACAGGATATTAAAAACACAATAAAACATCAAAAATTTAAAAAACTTCCCTAAACACGGCTGCCTTCAGATGTCTTCTAAAAGTCAGATAGTTGTTTATTTCCTTGACATCTGATGGGAGGGCATTCCACAGGGCAGGCGCCACCACTGAGAAGACCCTTTGCCTGGTTACCTGTAACCTCACTTCTCGCAGGGAGGAAACCGCCAGAAGGCCCTCGGAGCTGGACCTCAGGGCAGAACGATGCAGGTGGAGACGCTCCTTCAGGTATACTGATAGATATTATGATAGCTGGAAAGCATTTATACAAAACATAGTAGGTTACAAATAATTGTATCTGTATTAGAATAAAAATGCCATTTATATACCATTGTGTTAGATAAGCATGTATAGAATTATAATGCTTTCCTCCTTTTTATATATATATATTGTATTTTTAATGCATGTTTTTGTTTATTTTTTGTTGGTTTCTGTTTAACTGAAATATTTTTAATAAATAAATAAAAACAATTCAAATGCAGTTACTTGCATGCATTGGCCAGCCTTAGAGTACGTGCAAAAGGTTGATTGTTATGAATCTTGCTTTCCAATTAATGCTGCTCCGCAATAACGACTGCCAGCACCAGAATTTGGAAATGTTCACCTTTAACGCTTAACATCTGTATAGTGCTTTCAGGTCTTCAAAGTTTTCCACGTGTATCATGCAGTTACAATCCTTACAACAGCCCTAGTAAGTCAGGTTATGCAGAGGAGTGTGTTTAAGGAGAGAGACTTGCATAGTAAGTGTTTTCTCTTTTGCCAATTTAGTTATATCAGAATATTAATGAAGATTAGCACCTTTTGACTGTGGCTGTTTCAGAAGTAATTGACAGCGCAATTATTTCAGCCTTCTTTTATAATTCCCTTTTCTCTTTTTGGAAAAAGGAATTAACTTCTACTAGGGGGAAAAAATGTTCCCTGGGCAAAGGCACAGCAGAGCGTTTTCACTAGCAATTTATTGAACTTCCATTATCAATCTTCTCAAGTGCTGGGGGTTTTTTATTTCCATTTTCTGCAGTGCTTTACTTCAAGAAAATACATAGGACTTCTATTGTGAAGCATTTTAAATGCTAGGGATTATGCTGTTATGCAATATCAGCATTGCAAACAGCGATATAATCTGCAATCCTATACATATGTACGTGGGGATAAGTCCCAATGAAATTGTGGGGCTTACTTCTTAATGTGCTGTAGATTCTTTATATGTTTAGAGCCATACATCTTATTCCTTACAATCTCAATAACGACTAGTGAACAAATTAGCTCCCAAACCCCACAAAGTGAGTGTTCCGGCTTGCGAATGTTTTTCGGAAGTTGAACGTCTGAGTGCAGGAAGCTCCTGCAGCCAATTGGAAGCCGTGTCTTGGTTTTCGAACTGTTTTGGGAGTCGAACGGACTCTTGGAATGAATTAAATTTGAGAACCAAGGCACCACTGCATTCCTCACCCAAGTAGGGATATGTGTGTGAAAGCCTGTTTCAGTCTGCATGTATCAGCTAGTAAGACTGAGGTTGGCATCTGTCTGTCTTGGGAGACAATGGAGGAGTAAACCATGGAGAATTACAGCACCTGCTGTGGCTGTGGAGACCAATAAGGGAGAGACATGTTTTGTTGCAGCTGGGGCAGATGAAGGCATCTGGTTGTGCTGATGCTTGTGTGCCATGGTGTTTCTTCTCTCTGGGCTCCTCCCAGTGGTCATTCTTCCTCTGACTTATTTTCAAAAGCAGCTTATATTTTCCAGAGGGAAGGCCATACAGCCAAAATAATGCAGGGTCCTGCGGTATCTCCTAAGTGCTGCTGACATATTTTTGGTGACCAAAAAATTGATAGATTAAAGCCTGCTTTTTCTGACGCATGGAGAATTATCCTCAGTGAGCTAACGCTGGGCTCTCATCCATTAAAGTTTGTCACAACAAATACAGTGGTCTTCAAATTAAAACAAGATTCTTTCCTTTTTTGTATTTTTTGTTTCAAGAATCAGTAAGAAAATTGTCTCTTCTTTGGTGGCAAAATTCATTCAGCCTTGGAAGAGAATAAGATGAACACACCACACACACAAACACAGACTTAAAACTCTTCAAAATGACAGAAGGCAGTGATGGGGTTTTTGTGTGTTTTTTAATACTACTGGTGTCTTTTGTGATGACTAACAATCACTGTTTCATGGCACCAAGTGAAATCTTCATTAGGAGGAAGTGATAACAGCAGGCCTGAATATCTGCCAAAAAGAGATCTTTATCAAACATACAGAGAAGGTCAGAAATAGATGCTCCTCTTGTTGGTTTTCCATTGCTTGAGTAAAGAGTGTCACATCAAATTAGGTTCAACCTGAAGCTGTTGCTTCCTTGTTCTATGAGAGGCATCTTAGTCAAATAATGCATTACATGATAAATTGCTCCTGGGCCCTTACAGTTCAGTATCAGGATTTTATGTTTTCCCATGATGGGAAAATCCTGCACATAGAAAACTGTGTCAGGCAGAAGGCCATACTCTCCCACATTTCTCCAATTTAAATAGGGACATTGTATTCCATAATAATAGTTTCACTATTTATACCCTACCCATTTGGCAGAATTGCCCCAGCCACTCTGGGAGGCTTCCAACACATATAACAAACATAATTTCAACATTCAACATTAAAAAAAACTTCCCTATACAGGGTGGCTTTCAGATAGCTCAAGGGTCAGATAACTCTCTAACCTCCAACATTTCTCTGATGAAAATAGGGACATCCTACCATACCCTCGGGACACGGGTGGCGCTGTGGGTTAAACCACAGAGCCTAGGACTTGCTGATCAGAAGGTTGGCGGTTCGAGTCTGTGCGACAGGGTGAGCTTCCGTTGCTTGGTCCCTGCTCCTGCCAACCTAGCAGTTCAAAAGCACAAAATGCAAGTAGATAAATAGGTACCGCTCTGGCAGGAAGGTAAATTGCGTTTCCGTGCACTGCTTTGGTTCTCCAGAAGCGGCTTAGTCATGCTGGCCACATGACCTGGAAGCTGTCTGTGGACAAACGCCGGCTCCCTTGGCCAGTAAAGCGAGATGAGCGCTGCAACCCCAGAGTCGGCCACGACTGGACCTAACGGTCAGGGGTCCCTTTACCTTTACCTTTTATGGCCTTTTAAACTGTGGAGGTACTGTTTTGCTTGTTTGTATGCTGTGCTTTCATATGGGCAGTATATAAATGAAACAAACAAACAAACTTTTCACCCTTGAAATTTGAGGAAAGGGCAACAGGCCAGTTGGAAGTTCAATGCCTATTACCATCACAATGTATGCCCCTTCCTTCCTTCCTTCCTTCCTTCCTTCCTTCCTTCCTTCTCCTCCTCAAAAGGAATCACAGGATAGGAGACTTGCCTGAGAAGATTTTCACCCTTCCCTTTTCCACAGCTGTCTGAGGTTACATCATCTCCCTCACTGATGCTTCTTCAACTGCCATTTTGACTGAATTATTATTTTTTGTCATGCAGTGGGTACCGGGGCTGTGCCATATTTGCAAAAGCCCAAATCCTGAACCAAAATCAGGCTGATTTGGGAAGGATCCAGGCTTCAGCAGAGTCAGGTAGGGACAGCTCTGGGTCATCGTGGCTTGGGTCAGGCCGATCAGAGTGATCTGGGGCTGTCAAGTGTTCTGCCCAGACGCTGAGATTCAGCGCTGAGGGCCTTCTGGCAGTTCCCTCACTGCGAGAAGCGAAGCTACAGGGAACCAGGCAGAGGGCTTTCTCAGTAGTGGTGCCTGCCCTGTGGAACACCCATCAGATGTCAAAGAGACATCTACCTGACATTTAGAAGACACCTGGAGGGAAGTTTTTAATGTGTGACATTTTAATGTATTTTTAATCTTTGTTGGAAGCCGCCCAGAGTGGCTGGGGAAACCCAGCCAGATGGGCAGAGTGCAAATAATAAATTATTATTATTATTAGGCATCAGACAGGATACAGCAGCAGACCCCAGCAGGATTGATTCCTCTGCTCAACAGCGGGTGACTGGAGGATTCCTGCAGGGTGCTCTTTTGCACGCTCTATCCCCACAGGGTGTAGGGTTTAAAACACACTAATAAAGCATTAGACATGTCTCTCAAATTGTTTCAGGTGGTCGTGGGGCAGTTCAGCTCTACTGGTTGCATGTGAGCAATGCTATTTTTTCTATAAAAAAGGTGCCAGAACTCACCCTGAACTCACCTCATTCTCCCTTGTTCTGGCCCACCTGAGAGGTGACAGAACTGTGTTCCAGAGAGTTTCAGCTGAAAAAAAGTCCTGCATGTCAGACACTTAAACAAACAAACAAAACATTCCTGTTCATAATTGGAAAGAGAAGTTGAAGCAGACGTTTTAAACATCCAAATAACAAATGTGCTACATTTATATGTACATCCAATATTTATGCTTTAGGGAATTAAAATTATTTATTTTCTGTTTATTTTCCTTTGATGTTGGAAACTAATTTATTACTGATGTGAGCCCACCCTATCAGTATGAATCACAATTTTTTTTCATTCACATCCACACAAGCTTTCAAAAAGACTACATCCAGCTAAAACTCAGAGATATGAAGCTTATGAGACTTCTAATCTTCCCTCGTAGTTTGGCCTTCTTATTCCATTGAGGGTTTTGCTTCTGAAATCTGGGGAAGCTTTGCTGTTTCCTAAGCAAATATATTTGTGTTATGTATTTGATGTCTCCGGGAAAGTTTCTGTCAGCCTTCTGATGTAGCACATGATACTTGCTGGACAGACTAGTGATGATATCAGACTTAAGTTTGTCTCTGCGCTATTGAATATCATCAAAGCTGTTTTATGCCATGTTTCCCCTTTGGGTGCTTTGTACTACAGCATCCAACCAGCTCATTACAGATGTCTGATTTGGCCACAGTGACGCCCGCCTTAGTTGCATGTCATTTGGGTAACACACATGACATGGGGCTGCCTTTGAAAAATACTCAGAAACTTCAACTGGCTCAAAGAGGTGCAGCCAGATTGTTGACTGGGGCTGGTTATAGGGAGGAGATGACTTCCTTCCTAGAACAGTTTCACTGCCTACGACTTATAAAGCCCTACATGGCTGAGGTCCAACCTATCTGAAAAATCATATTCCCTGGGTTCTGAGATCTTTGGAAGAGTCTTTCTCAGTCCTGCCACCATTCCAAACATGTTTGGTGGGAAAATTGGAGAAGACCTTCTTGGTGGCTGCTCCCATACTTTGGACCTCTCTCCCTAGAGGAGTGAGACTGGCTCCCTCCTTGTCCTTCTGCTGGCAGGTGAAGAAGACCTACTTGATCCAAGAGGCTTTTTGAGGAACTGACTGCTTTTAATGAGGCGGCTGGTGCCATGCTCATTGGAGCCCTTTCCCTATGAAAAGACACATTAAACTAAAACATTTAGGATGTTTAGCCTAGAACAACCTTCCTCAACCTTGGGTCCCCAGATGTTCTTGAACTACAAATCCCATCATCCCTGGCCACTGGCCATGTTGTCTTGGAATGATGGGATTTGTAGTCCCACAATATATAGGGACCCAAGGTTGAAAAAGTGTGGTCTACAGAAATAGAAAAACAAGTGGGTGTATGAGACAGGATTATAACATTACGAATACTGTAGCATGTTAAGGATGGATATATAGAATTGTCTCTCCTCTGTAATACTAGAGCGTGGGGTCATTCAATGAATTTGTTTTGCCATAGATTCAGTGGACACAGGCAAAATAAAATATGTATTCACATAACACATAATTAACTTGTTGGAATCCACAGGTGCATGGTGTTGTGGTCACTGGCTTAGTAGGTCTGAAAAAGAGATTAGGCGTTTTCAAGAATGGCACATTTATCAAGGGCTATTAGCTAGAATGAGGGATGCGGGTGGCATTGTGGTCTAATCCACAGAACCTAGGGCTTGTCAATCAGAAGGTTGGCGGTTCAAATCCCCATGACGGGGTGAGCTCCTGTTGCTCGGTCCCTGCTCCTGCCAACCTAGCAGTTCAAAAGCACGTCAAATTGCAAGTAGATAAATAGGTACCACTCCAGCGGGAAGGTAAACGGCGTTTCTGTGTGCTGCTCTGGTTTGCCAGAAATGGCTTAGTCATGCTGGCCACATGACCCGGAAGCTGTACGCCGGCTTCCTCGGCCAGTAAAGCGAGATGAGCACCACAAACCCAGAGTCGTTCGTGACTGGACCTAACAGTCAGGGGTCCCTTTACCTTTACCTATTAGCTTGAATAGCTAAATGGAGCGGCCTTTCTCAGAGACAGTGCACCTCTGAATTACAGCTGCTGGGGACAAACAATAAGGAAAGGCTGCTTTCAAGATTCCTGGAAACACCTGGCCATCCCGATCTTAGTGGACAGATTGGCAGATTAAAGCGGGTCTGTTGTTTGATGCAACAGGTCACTGTTTTTGAACTTATGATGTAATATATATACTTGGTGTTCCCAGAAAGGATGAATGCTGTTCAAAAAGTGGTTAAAAAATAAAAATGAGTCACATCTCTCCCACTGCAAGTAACTCTGTTCAAATGCATTAGCTAATCAATTTAACAGATTGCCTGTCATGAGCGTTTGATCTTCATATTCTGACAATTATGCTTTGATGCTGGGGTGGCAGGGAGTGCTCACAAAGTTTGCTTTCCCGAAAACATTATAGTTGCATACAGCTGATATGCAACTTCTGTTTAATAACTTCTGCACCAGTCCTAAGCTTGAGTAGAGATACTTAGAATGAGCGTAGCAGTCTTCAGCAGTAAGTATTTTTAGGAAGCAATTTATCCGGCCAGTCAAGGAAACTTAATTGTTTACTATTGCAAAGAAAATATCACCACAAAATAAATATATATTTTTAAAGTTTTCTGACCTGTAGATGACACTTTGAACTAAATGCTGTAGGCACCCGCTCACTAAGCCAGAAATCCAATCCCATCTCTTTTCATTATAATTAAAAGAATTAGTTTTGCATTCACGGGCACTGGAGTAGAATAAATGTTAGCAGTCGTTGAAGTGCCTGGATGTCCTTTTAGCCTTTGTGAAAAACAATTAAAAGGTCCTAAAAGGAAAGTTGAAATTGGAGCACAGTCAACTATGACACGTAAGAGACCATCATGTGACCGCAGTGCTTATTTATAGCTGCAACAACAAATGCAATCTCTTTTGAAGCATTTGCTCTGCATGACATCCAAAATATACCCACAACGTAACTGGCTGTGTTTAACTATATAAATTCTTCATACATCATATAAACATAACTCTTTTCACATTATCTAACTGAGTAGAAGCAATTAAGGACCAACATTTAGAACAGGAAATACAAATAGATCAGTTCTTATATACAAAATGTCCAAATAGAAGCTTTTGTGTTCCACGTATGTACAAATGAATCAGTTTTTTTAAAACGTAATGTCCAAATAAAAGCTTTTTGTGTTCCACATATGTCTTAGCGAATACAAGTTTCAAAAGTAACAACTTTAAGGAGCAGTACTTGCAAAAGATGAACTTTTCTTTGTAATGTTCCACATCTGTCTTTGCAAAGTATGGTTGTTGTATACAGCTGCTGTATGAAGGTAGCGGACGAAGGATACGAAAGATCTTAACATGTGCCTTTGCAAAATACAGTTGTTGTATGCCAGTGTCAGACGAAAGAACTTCATTGTAACAAGGATTCCCGGAATAATACCTTGTTTCGCCCTGTCTGGCTTCGTCAGCTGAGCCTACTCATATTTCGTGTATCAGAGACATGGAATGAGTGAATAATTACGCAGAATCATTATGTCATCACTACAGCAGAGGCAAAATGCCACGCACACCCAGTGGTGGAGGAAGATCCTCCGCTCACGGCTGCAGCGGCAGAGGAGGGATCCCACTGCCGTCCATACGGTGCTTGAGCGGCAGTGTTGGCAAACTGCCCCATGGCGCAAGTGCGGTGCCGCTGCATACTGTGTATGCTATGCACGGCGTACGCACATGCTGCATACGTAGCGGCGCCATGCATGCGCCATACGTACGGTGCATGTGCATGCGCCTCCAGACAGTTTGCCCCGCCCCCCAACACCCCACACTGGGTGCCGGTTAGCCTTCCTTTGCCCATGCGCACACCCTGCCAACTTCACCATGCTGTTTGCTTTTGTTCCAGTCTCCAAAATGCCTCGTTCTCCCTTCAATGTGTGCAAAGTAAGTATGAAACTTAGCGGCTCCAGTCACATTCCTGGGTTCCATAAAAGGTTGCAAAGAAGGCCTTTGATTTGCTGCCTGCAACACTGTTTCCATTCCTCTGCAGTTTGTCTTTTGCAAATACAAAACCAAACCAAGCAAAACCACAACTGTTTTTTATTATTCATCTTACTGACTGCTGTGGTCAAATCATTTAACTTAAGATAATTTAAGGTACATAATTTACGTTGGCATCACCCTGTTCTACCCCATTCATTTCCACGCAAAGGAAACAAAATGTAGATCGAGAGAAATGTAATCATTTGCAGACTGAAAGCCAACAAAGAAACCCACAGTGAATACCATTCCCAATTGTTGGGATTGATTTGCCTGGGCTGAATATGTGAATATTTGCAATATCTGTAGCCTTTTCTGTTTTTGTTTGAATTCTGCATCATCCCTAGAGTCATATTGTGGCATCTGAAGCAAAATCAGAATGAGGATATGCCTTCTGCCCTCATTCTGGAGCCCACATGGTCAAAAAATAAATAGTGCCCATCAACAGTTGGGACACAAATGATGCCACAAGGGTCACTGAACAGGCAGGAGGGGTTGTTGTTGTTGTTTAGTCGTTTAGTCGTGTCTGACTCTTCGTGACCCCCATGGACTAGAGCACGCCTGGCACTCCTGTCTTCCACCGCCTCCCGCAGTTTGGTCAGACTCATACTGGTAGCTTTGAGAACACTGTCCAACCATCTCCTCCTCTGTCGGCCCCTTCTCCTTGTGCCCTCAATCTTTCCCAACATCAGGGTCTTTTCCAGGGATTCTTCTCTTCTCACAAGGTGACCAAAGTATTGGAGCCTTATCTTCGGGATTTGTCCTTCCAGTGAGCACTCAGGGCTGATTTCCTTCAGAATGGATAGGTTTGATCTTCTTGCAGTCCATGGGACTCTCAAGAGACTCCTCCAGCACCATAATTCAAAAGCATCAATTCTTCGGCGATCAGCCTTCTTTATGGTCCAGCTCTCAATGCCTTGCCATGGCAAAGGGGCTTGAATAACTCAGAGAAGCTATGAGCTATGCCATGCAGGGCCACCTAAGATGGACAGGTCATAGTGAAGAATTTTGACCAAATGTGATCCACCTGGAGCAGGAACCAGCAAGCCACTCCAGTATCCCTGCCAAGAAAACTCCATGAACAAAGACAACAGGCAGCAGGGGAGTTCCATGCAAACTTCCACTCTCTAAACTTTGGCTTTTGAGTAAAAAGGTTGCTAAATTAAATTTTGTTTCTGCTTTAGTTTCTGCCACAGAAGCTATAACAGCACACAGCTGCAAAATGTTGAAGAAAGGAGGAATGGGAGTTTATAGCAGGGAGTGGTGGCATTCCCCCAGAGCAAAACACTGCTCTTGCACTGACAATCAAAACAGGAGAGCCTTCAGTGCAGTCTTAATTATATAAACTATTTATATAATAGTCTGTTTTCCAAAGTCAGCTTAGAGGTTGGACAGAGTCAGAGAATGAACCTGACCCCCCAAATACCTGCCATGTTCAATGAAAAAGAAGCTCAAAATCCCTTTCAAGGCATCTTAAAATATTTATTGTTAAAAGCAGGTAAAGGGTGTTGCTTAGGAAAAAACATCAACATGTACAAGTCAGCAGAACTCCAGAGCTGTGCCTCCAACAAATGAGTCAATAAACGTGCCGCTTCACTCTCAGACTTCCCTGAAAGTTTGCAAGAGATGTCTGTTAGAATTCAAGGGGAAGAAAAGTGCCACTGATTTTCACATAATAAAAGGCAAACGCTTGCCTGGGAGAGCCTGACAGCAAATCCACCAGCTGGCTGAGGAAGCAAACTGACAATATAAGGCACTGAGCCAGCACTACAAAAACGGTTCAGTGAATGTGATGAGCATTACTGCAAAAATAGAGGACCCTCTCAAATTATTGTCTGAGTTCTACCTGGAAAAATATGACAATGGGGCATCTATTGCATTTTTCAGATCTGCCATGTTCTGTAATCATGTACACATATGTGAATACTATATAACAGACCAAATAATAATAATAATAATAATAATAATAATAATAATAATAATAATAATGTATTTATACCCTACCCATCTGGCTGGGTTTTCCCAGCCACTCTAGGCGGCTTCCAATAGACTATTAAAATACAATAGTCTATTAAACATTAAAAGCTTCCCTAAAGAGGGCTGCCTTCAGATGTCTTCTAAAAGTCTGGTAGTTGGTTTTCTCTTTGACATCTGGTGGGAGGGTGTTCCACAGGGCTGGTGCCACTACCGAGAAGGCCTCTGCCTGGTTCCCTATAACCTCACTTCTCACAGTGAGGGAACCGCCAGAAGGCCCTTGGAGCTGGACCTCAGTGTATGACAATGTACTGAGCTTTATTGCTATGCAAAATAGTTCCCATTATTATTATTATTAATTTTATTTGCATTTATATAGCATTTTTTCTTCAGAGGAGCTCAAGGTGGTTCTCCCCTTCCTCATTCAACCTCCATTCAAGCCTTCATGCCGAAGGTGGGGATTCAAAACCTGGTTTCCCAGGTCCTAGTCCAACGCACTAACCACTGTCCCCCCTTGGGATAGTATACTGGGAGCTAGCCTTTATTCATATCCCACTGCCTCCCTATGTAGGGTTGCCATAAATCTGGAATTTCCTAGACATATCCAGTATTCAGCCCTCGTAAACAGCATCCGGGCGGAAATCACTAAAAATGTCTGAGAAAATCTGGACATATGGCAGCCCATATCGGCAATGCAGATTTTGGCAAATTTCATTAAAAATAGGTCAATAACTCATTCCCCACCCCTGAGATTTCACAAAGAAACCTCGACAACTTTTGTGTCCAGATTTTCACTTTTTGAAATGTGGTGACCCTACTCTAAAGCACAACGCTTCCTTGCTAAAAACCCACTGAAATAAGTCATTATTAGTTCCCATTCCACAGCTTCTGTGAATTTTAATCCAGCTTTTAAAAACTGAGACTTAATGGTCCACTCACTAGAAAGTAGGCCACAGATTTATTGGGTGGGATGACCAAGCTAGCGATTCCTTAACAACCAAAATCTTTCATCTCTTCCAACATTCAGACCATGCAAAACCTCTAACCTCTTCCTATGGTTTCCTACCCATCTCACATCTGATCCATCCTGTGTTCCTTGCCTTTATTTTCAATGACACACTCCCCTTATCTCTCGACTCTTGTATCTCCACTCTGCCCATGACTCTCACTTCTCCAACCATCATCCCTCAACCACATGAATGTCTCCTGCTCCCTCACATGATTCTGCTTATTCTCTATAGTTGCTCCATTTGCTGGGAACTCCCTCCAAGGATATGTCAGAACATTTCTCTAACCACCCCAGTTTCCACTTTCCCCTCAGAATCTACCTATCTGCAGATGGAGATGACTTGGAAATTTCAAGTTTGGAAATATTGAGTCTAAAACTGCAGTTCTAACCCCACCGGCCTGGGAGCAAGCCTCATAGGGACTTAATCTTGAGTGGACATGGTTATAACTGCAATGTAAATCCCTAAGAACCTTGACCCTGTATGACGTTATTCAAACTGCTCCTTTCATTTTCTCGCAAGCCAACTTTCCATGAGTATGTGTATGCAGGCCTTCATTAGCACCTTGTCAGTCAGAACGGTCCAGTGCAAATTTCGCTGACTGTTGTAGCTTGCAAGGATTTCCTGTCTTTTATTAAGAATGTGGAAGCCCTGGCAAATTACAGTTTCCACAAATTTTTGCACTTGGAAGGCCTTGGGGCCTAATAAAAGCCAAAGCTCCTTCTTTGCACTGTCAGACTTTGAGGAATAGTCTTCCTCCCCCGTCACAGTAAATAGGATCAAATGAAAGGAATGTTTTACCAGTTAGATTCTGTAATAACCAC